ATAATAATAATAAAACAGCAGCTGTGGTTGCCAGAATCTAACATCTAGAATGACAGTGTGTGTGGTGTAAAGATGAAAAATAAGGTTTCAGTCTAGTTTTGGTATTTATGGAAGTCAGAGTTTTTATCCYATGGTTCACAGATGGTGATGCAGTCAGACTGTAAGCTGCAAACAAACAGGCTTTAGCAGGATTCATGAAGACTCGGCCAAGACTTCAAACACCGTCTCCATCAGACCAAACTCTGCACATTTAAATTCATCTCCCTCTGCAAAGTTTTATCAGAATCTAGCAGTTCCTGTAAACAAAGCAAACTATTTTTATCTCAGCATTGAACAGAATAATAGGTAAAAATATGCCTTCAGAAAATAGTTAGTCCAGTTAAATATTGGTCAATGACAAAACCCAACTGCTTTTGCAACAAACAGACGACATTAAGCTTTTTCATCAGACCTCAGTTCAGGTTTTGTTGAAGATTTGGACCCAGAAAACAAACAGGCATGAGGAACTCAACAAATAAAACTAATTTATTCAAATAAAGGTAAATTTGACAACAAAAAAGTTAGAAAAAAGTGAGGACATCAATGACAATCAGAGGGAATTTTAAATACGACTAAACAGCCTCATGTTTTTTTTGAATCGGATTAATTGATTCCTATTAGATTTTGACACGTCTCCTAATAAATTGATTAGAAAATACTTTTCCTCTTTGCTTAAAACAGTTTTTAAGCATTGCCGTTCCTCTGCATGCTTACTACAGTTTATAAAGACATGCTCCACACTTTCTGTTTACACCAACAAGGAAATGAAGACAGCATACAAGTTATAAAGGGRAGACATCGATGAACTAAATGACAAACACCTGTGAGGATCAGGTGGGCGGGRCAGGAGCCAACCAACACTGAGAAACTGAACACAAAAAAGTAAAAAAAAACATGCTGACAGACTCTTGAATGCTTATTAACTTTTATTTAGCCAGACAAATCCCACTGAGATCACAGATCTATTTGGTGACACAGACAACCTGACATGAATGTTTTTTGTCTGTGGGAGGAAACCAGAGTACCTGGAGAAAACCCACACAAACACGAGGAGAACATGCAACCTCCACACTAAAAGACCCCTGGTCTGAACTGGAGATCAAACCCAGGACCTTCTTGCTGTGAGGCATCAGTGTTGACCACTGATCCATCATGGTGCCAATGATTAAGTACTGAAGTCTTGTCACTGATGAAAGTATTTCTTGAAGGAATGCATTTTATCCACCAACTTGCATTCTCAAGTTTGAAACAATTTTGTGATTTGCTATCACTCAATGATTGGAAAGACCAGACCTACAGCTACAACAAATATTAGCTTGATTATCATATTTTTGTGTTTGCTAATAGCTGTGGAGACCATCTTGGATCAAACTGATTCCAAAACCTAAATCAGTTGCAGACATCCAATAACTTTCTGAGAGTTTCATGGAAATCTGCCTTTGGGTTCACAGGATGTTACTTCAGACTCAGGAGGCAATTCAAGTGCAGATGAGGACTTGCGGGGTATGAAGAAATAAAAGGTTAATTCTATTCTATTCTATTCTATTCTATTCTATTCTATTCTATTCAACAACTTTATTGTCATTCAGGATTGTACAGATTACCATACAAAACTGAATGAAATTTCGTTTAATTTCTCCACAATATTATGGTGTTGATGCATAATCTAGAACAGAGGAGCCCAAAGTGGGGCCCGCGGGCCAAATTTGGCCCTCCAAGCCATTTGATTTGGCCCACCAGCAGTTGCCATCGTTAGTAGGTTGTAACTTGTTGTACTATGTAGAAAGTAATCATTTCTTATTATACATAAGCAGTTTTTTTTATTTCCTGATGCTGAAATGATTGTATAAGATTGTATGAGAATGCATTGTTGTCATGTCATGGTGACCAGAGAGCTGTGAACTGAATTGCCCTTTTAGSCTAAATAAARTTATTTGAAGTTGAAGTAACAGTATTTCCACCTAAAGTCATTATTTATCCATTGGTCCAGTGAGTATAAGAGGCTGTARTGMAGRGTTTTCACTCATGGKGYTGACTTTATCTTTGATATATTAGGATTAAACATCAAACATGAAGTACATACAACAACAAGATGTATTTAGCTTAGATTTAACCACACATGTAGATTTGTTCACTTTATAAGGCCACAAAAACTCATATTTTATCAATTTATGAAATGTCCCATGAGCCTTTGCTGCTTGAGAGTATGGTAGACTTTCTCCAAGTGCACAGACTAAAACAAAAGTGGGCCACTGCACTGGCTGCTAGCTTAATCATTAAAAACAATGGACTTTAATTTAAAAAGTATTTGTATTACATGTATTAATATTGTCACATTTGGCCCGCAGTCCCAGATAGATTTTCATTTTGGCCCTCTCGAGGAAAATGTTCGGGCACCTCTGATCTAGAAACTTAAAGGTGCAGTTCTTGTGCAATTACAGCAGGTTATACAATTATAGTGAATAGAATTAGAAAATGAGCCTGTATGTACATATAAATACAGTATAAGTAAGTGTGTGGGTACAGTTGAATACATGTATTAGTATTTTCCAGCATGTGTGTGAATATGTGAGTGGAGGACTTAAAACTGGCCTGGTAAGGAACTCACGAGAAAGCGATCAGTGAGGAGACAAGCAAAGAGTAATGGGAAAACCCAGACAAAGACACACTTATTAGGAGTGAAGAACAGAACACAAACAGTGAGGAGTAATCAAGGGAACGGGAAACACCTGGAGAGAGGAAACGGAGCCTGTGGCACAGAGGAGAGGGAAACAGGCAGAAAGGATTGACTAAAACACAGCATGTTGAAGCTCCTTTAAAGTTACCTACAGGTAAGAGGAAAACCAAACACAAAGACTCAGAATGTGAAAATATTTTACTGACAGACAGGTGAACACCCGGTGTGACACAATTATATAATCAGTTGCCTTTTGAATTCCCAACATCTTAAAGGAAAGACTGATTATGTTCACACACAGCTTCTCCCAACAAAAAGTATTGAAACTGGTTGCTGATGTATGGTATATATATATATA